CGCAATTGAAAGATGCTAGATTCGTGAGTGGAATTTCACCCAATGCCCGAGACCGAGACCGAGACCGAGACCGAGACTTGACACCTCGCGAGGCACGAGTCAGTAATGCAGCTGTCAACTCGCCCGAAAACGGTGTCTGTTGGGTGTATTCCACTCATCGCCTCGAGAGCTGTTGACGCGCGACTCGAGTGGAAAATCGCCTCACAGCACCCGCACTTCACTGGAAAGTCTACTAATGTCATTGTGGAAAATACACATTCTCCGCGTCTAACGCTCAAAAACCAGTATGTATGGGCCTGTTGCAAACTTTTGCTAGAGCAAAAATAAGAGTTGTTTCTTGTAGATAATGCCTCAAAAATCACGATGAGCGCATCGGCAAAGTCTGAAATGCACTCATAACTTCACAATCTGCGTAAGAAATTTGCGTTTTTTTAAGCTTCCCGCTTCAAAACCGATACTACGGCACAGATGAACATTTTGTTAGAGGAGTCGCTCCATCGTCGGCGATATTCATCATGGCCGACGCTTGCGCGCAGTTCCGCGCGTAATTCGAGGAGAGTTCAAGGTCAATCAATGCGGGCGTGGAAAATATGAACGTTAACACACCGATTATTATCTGGTCTAATCCAGTTCAGGTGTTATCTCGTCCCATCAAACGTGTTTTGGCGGATTGGCGTCGGCCATGATGATTATTGCCGACGATGAAACGACTCCTCTTACAAAATGTTCACCTGTGCCGTAGTATCGTTTTTGAAGCGGGAAGCTCAAAAAACCGCAAATTTTTTCGCAGACTGTGAAGTTATGAGTACATTTCAGACTTTGCCGATGCGCTCATCGTGATTTTTGAAGCATTATCTATAAGAAACAACTCTTATTTTTGCTCTAGCAAAAGTTTGCAACAGGCCCATTGTTGGAGTATCGAAAATGCATCCGTGGATTATTAAAAAAGTAATAATAATTGGGGGGGGAACCCTTAATCCTCAGGCCAGAACAAATAAAAACGGCGTTAAATCATTTTCGACGGAGACCAGTCCATCCAGGGGTGCATAAAGTTCTTCAGTGTACGCTTTTACTAGCAAGACACAAATTTTCCCTACGCACCCCCACACAGCGCGGTCGAAGTTTTGACCAAAGTCAGCGCGGTCGAAGTAAATTTGACAAAAGTTATGCGCGACTAGCTGCTCCGGGCGCCCTCCACGGCTAGCAATGGTGGTGCAGTAGCTTAATTGGAATTTGAGCAATCAGTTGAATCTATTTAATAATGATGAATAAAATGTCTGTAACGATACGTGTTGTTTACAATACGTGTTGTTAGCAATACGCAATACTGCAGTTAATAAGTCAGGGTCAGTCAAGCCGCAGAGAATAAGATGCCAGGATATCAAGAAGCTGTGAGGCGGAGCAGCCGAGGGATTGCGAAGGAATGTGGGTGGCGAGTGACGAACGACGATGCGACCCAAACCTCTTTCTTTGAGGTTAGTGGGAGGAGAGCTATACGAAAGAAAACGGAGATAGCCGNGGGGGGGGGGGGGTACCTAGGGACGGGCAAGCAGGTAGCGGCCGGACGAAACAGCTTAACTTTACTCGTCGATAAAAGTAAGAAAACTTGAGAAAATCGAAAAAACAATTACAGCCTGCAAATCTACAGATCAGAAGCTTTCATTTAAAAAAAAACAAAAAAAAAACATGCAAATCGGTCCGGTGGTTCTCTCAAAGTTAATGTCCCAAAATTCGGACTTTAGTCTGAATCAATGGGAGAAAATTCGAGCCCAGCTAAACTTCACTCGTCGATAAAAGTAAGAAAATTTGGGAGAATCGTAAAGACGATCACAGCCTGCAAATCTACAGATCAGAGGCTTTCATTTAAAACAAAAATCATGCAAATCGGTCCGGTGGTTCTCTCAAAATTAACGTCCAAAGATTCGGACCTCCGTTTTCATACATTGGAGAAAATTTGAGAAAATTATAGTAGAAAATTTGAAAAAATCGAAAAACAAATTACATTCTGCAAATCTACAGCTCAGGGGCTTTCATTTAGTAAAAAGATCAGGCAAATCGGTCCGGTGGGCCTCTCAAAGTTAACGCCCAAAGATTCGGAACTTTGCATTTTTAATATATAGGATTATTGTGTGTGTGTGTGTGGGTGAGGGAGGGTGGGTGAGCGTGTGTGTAATTTTTTTTCTTCTTCTTTTTTTATGAGCGAGATGTTTCAATTCATGGAAAACCGTCAATATCTTAGTTAGGAGTTCCTTTCAACAATTTTTGTTGCACAAATAGGGTTTTCCGTCAAATTTAAATGAGAAACCAAGTATTACCATGCTTTAATTCTCATCTTTTCTATTGGTCCATTGCATGAGTCCAGGGACTGCTCTTACAGTACGTAACACTTTACGGGATGAAAGGAGGGGGGGTCTGAGCTTACAGCACGAGTGCGTTGCAGGGGGAGGGAGCGACCCGTCCACGGCTGCATTACGCAACGCACGAATGAGCGGGTCGCGCAGATTTTTCGCGAATCTGAGGTTGAAAATCAAGGCGAGATTTCAATTTTTCATCTGGAATAGCCACCTGTTTCATCATGGCTTTGGCCCCATTATGAAACATGCTTTATTATTAGTCCATTGCATGGGTTGCGAAGGCGATTCTGCACAAGAAGAACCCTTCTTTTGGAGTATTTGTGGGTCGTGCGGACAGATAATGACAAGAGAGGGAAGGGTGCTTTATTTTTATGCCTATTGGGTTATTTAACAACTAGATCCATACGAGTGCATGACGGACACGTCCGTCCTTCGTTTGTCCGTCATGTTACGAATTCCTCATCACGCCCATGACCATTGGCATTAGCACGTCTTGGTGAAATAGTATAACACGAGCACCAAACTCGAACTTATGCTAATACTTCCACTTTTTTCACCGTAAACTGCAAATTTTCTCCCTCCTCAAACAGCATCGCACAAGGAGAACTATTCTCCTAGCTTGAGTTAGAAAAATTATTCCGAATTTCATGACTTTCTGGCACTTGAAAATTCCACACCGAGACACACTGTCACATTCATTGCTCTGTTACACTATTGCTCTGTCATCACTGTTACATTTTTCGTGAATATAAAAGATAATCTCGAGAGGTTTTTGTCTCACTGACAATGCGTGATCCATATTTTGAAAAACTTAAAGATTCTAGACGGAAGGCGATCAAAAGACCATACATCATGCTTGAAGGAGACACTTTGAAAAACCAAAATCCGATAAGCCGATTCGTAAGTCAAAATTTGCGTGTTATTTTCCGTGAAGCTATTGAGTACGTCTGGAGGGTGGCATTAGTGCAATACTGTAAAACAGAATGTAAGTATTTTTCAAGGGGTTTTGAAGTGATGTGCTTCGACCGTGCGTGGCAGTTTGTTCCATCAGCCTGCCGATGAGTGGACTCATATCTTGGTGAATTTCCGTTGTAATAGTCTTGCACTATTAAATAAGATCAATCCATGCTTGCAAGACTTCTCTCCAACGAGTGATAATACATATTCGCTAAAACCATCCTTTTAAGACAGTGCGATAGAGATTTTCATTTTTATTTATTTATTTATTTATTGTTTTTCAAGTTTCATTTTGAATAAGTCGAATTGTGTTCCTTCTTGGTTAATATAGCTGCATGAATAAGCAATCATAAGGACATCTTACATTTTGCGACGGAAAATCTATTTAATTGAAATAACTAAGGTGAAAAATTTAAAAAAAGTAAAATATTCCTAATGCTTCGCGTCAGAGCTTTTTGATCATTCTTAGTTTTTTTTTAGACCAATCTTATCAAATGCTTTTCACCCTATATATGTAATGCCACGGAATTAAAAAACAGAGGAAAGCGGGGACAATTAATAGAATTGCTTTTGTAACACAGGACAGTCGATGGGATTTAAGAAAAACACTGGTAAACTTACCCGTGCCCGAGCAAACGTAAGATGGAATCCATTCATCAAGATACGACCCTGAATGGCGCTCCAAAAAAGAGTAAGGCCACAGTTACTTCATGAGCGGATCTCATTTATTTTTACAAGAGTATCTAAGAGATACAGGGTGTGCAGGTGCAGGTGCACCGTCCTCCCTGCCCTTCATCTTCTTTGGATAGTATCGCTTGGTTCGAGTTAATGTTTAAAGATCTATCCCAGTTTTGCCCCATCCAGATTTAGCAAAAATGACATCTCTGAACAAGTTGGACTCTATTCGGACATTCTTTAAACAGACTTTTCGAAAAAGTTCGTGTGGGCTATACACAGAGACAAGAGACCCTCCACTGGCCTACTAGCGACAGGTGGAAGCTTTTACTTTCGGGGTTTCAACAATTCCTTATGGACAATTATGAGCGAGCAACAGTCATCACCCTATTTTCGGCTGTTGACTTACCTACATGGTCGATGATGAGCTTCGGATGACGTCATAAGCCAAACAACTTTCCCAAACGTCGGCCATTTTCGGCTTGTTTGCAAAACGATACTGCCAACACGTTGTTGAACATCAACCATGTAGGTAAGTCAACAGTAGAATGCTGAAGTCCCGAAAGTAAAAGCTTCCACCATGGCCAAGTTACTAGTGGAGGGTCTCTTGTCTCTGGCTATACACAATAGGTATTACGATTTCCTCTTCACTCGCGTATTTTTCTGGTCTTTTTCTTAAGCAACATGGTCAGATTTTCGGTGTGCTATTCACTCATTGATATGAAAGCTCAAGCAATATGGAAGGTTTCGTTGACTTCATGTATTCGAAAATTCGAAATAAAATGTAAACAAATCCGGCAGACGACTACGACAACGCGGCTAGCTGACGTCAATCAGCGGGTGTTGACGATCCTCTGGAGAGCAGACTGAAGATTTTAGCGACGCACCATAGACTATAATAATATAGATATGGAAATCTGACAACATGACAAGATCAGATCATGAATACATCACCTCACTAAGATGGAAAGTATTCGAGAGGTTGTACAATATTTTAGTTTATTTATAAATACCATAAGTGATTTATTGAGGAATATCCGTGGAAAGATAAGACGTCGCATCCAGAAAAGTACCAAGCACTTGAAGATGGACAAGTTAGATAATCAAGCATATAAAAATTGGACGTACGCGGCTCTTGTCAAATAGTGGCGCTTATCGCATTGCTCAGTCGTGTTAGACCATTCAATGAGAGGATATCAGTGGTCACAATAGAGTTTGAGTTTAGACCTCGTGTTTGGTAAGTGACATCAATAAAATCAAACATTTTTTGCACAGGATTGAGAAATCACGTTTTGATTGTTAGTGATTTGGAAAAATTAACTGATTTTTTCGTAAGTGTCTCGTACTTTTTCCCCCTCCTCCGAGAAGCCTGAGCGCTTTTGTAGTCTCCAAGAGATTAATAAGAATATGTATGATTACATGAGATTCCAAATTTGCAATCTTGCATTCGATGCGATAGTTATGAACTTCCCTCAGTTGTTTTCTCTTTTAGACGAAAATTCCATGACTAAAATATTTAATTTCGAGGAAAATTGTGAAAGGTTTTCCATAAAGTTTTCAACGTTCGATTTTTCAAATAATATAATTTTTTTCCTAAAAATTCAAAGAGATATATTCACGAGCTTCCAGGAAACTTATAGAATGAATAATATTTCCATTTGCTGGGAACAGATGTCAAATGTTCCGTATATGGTTATATGGATACCATTTTATCAAATGTTGCCTATAGCATATACAGGGTGACCGACGGTGAACGTGCGATACTTTTAGGTTCGATTCTCTCGGTAATTAGTACCACTTACATGAGGTATGAATTTTTTTTCCAAAAACGCCTCCCCTAGAGGAACAGTCTCTAAATTTCTGAAAATATATCTTGCTGTATCTCCAACTTGCATGAAATGTATGCAGCACACGTTTCATCGCAATATCCAATTTTGGGTTTAGAATTACAAGCCCAACTATTGCGCTCGAGGGAGGGGTGGGCGCTCGATTCTTGAGCCTTATACCATGTTTTTTCTCGCCCAAAATTTTTGGAAAACACACCTTTCATGTTCTAATCTTTTATTTCCTGCGACCAACTAGTTAAGAGATAATTTCGTTAAAATTGAGGCAATGTTGCCACGTCTTCATCATCGGTCTTTCTCAACTTTGGCGGTTCTTCTTTCGCAACCGGTTGGCCTCAGGAAAACATGACATAATCGCCAAGTTTGATCTTTCAATTTTCTTTTGAGTGGAATACTTAGATGAAATTTAAGTCCACTATATAACTTTGGGTCACAAACCGTCAACAAGTGGAAAAAATTGATACCAAGTCCCTCTTTGTCCGATACAAGATTCTTCTTGAGAACTTAAAAATGAAAAAAAGCATTGAAAAAAATACAGGCTCAACTCCGTGTGGTTTAAATGAAGGTTCACCATTTACTGTAGACAGAATCAGATATAAAGTCAGTGCTAGAGCTGTTCCTGAGGGAGGAGGCGTCTTACGTCAAAAAATATAATTTTTACTTAAAGAATGAAACCGTAAATAGTTGTCCGCTAACCCTTGGACCCACCGAACTATAAATGTAATAGTATTCCTGAACCAACACAATTACGAACGGGGTCTTCCATTCCAGATTAAATCAACATACTCTGAGGCGACTTTTACTTTGGCTTTAACGGTTTTCTGAACGAGCTTGGCTGCAAATTTGTTTTTTGCCAACAATGGGCATAATAAGACAATGGATCCTTTGGGCTGTTACTTTCATCGGTCTTTGGGGAAGTACGCTGCAAAGCGACAGACAACCTGATTGGTGGGAAACAACGCTCATGTATCAAATATATCCTCGCTCCTTCAAAGATTCCAACGGAGATGGAATTGGTGATCTCAGAGGTAAATTTCCAAGACTAATCCTCACATTAGTACAAATTGAACATGGATTTGTAAACATAAACACGGTAAAAATATTTAGCCGTTTGATTTGCTCCCTACGAACAAGTCATCTAACTAATAAACTTATAACTAAAGAAGAACTAACTATTACGATAATAACCCTTACTCACTAGACAAATGGTTCCAGCAATTTAGTGAATGCAACCAGTATATATGACATACCTGAAACACACGTGAAATAAAAATTAAAGAGACTTCAGAAAAAAACACAAGATAGGTAATGAAATGCTATTTTAAGAAGTGCAAAATATACTTCAATAGTGAGAGCATTATGTATTTTGCATAAACCTCTCCAAACATTAGATAACAGAATTATTAGTATGCTCCTCTACTCTAAACATATTTCACAGAAAAATCACTTTGCCAAAATCAAACATGTAAGCACGTACCCTTTTTCGTACAGGAATTTATGAAAAGTTGGACTACATAAAAGACATTGGAGTTGACACGGTTTGGATTCAACCTTTTTACGAGTCACCTATGGTCGATATGGGTTACGATGTTTCTGACTTCGAGAAAATTGACCCCATGTTTGGCACGATGGAGGACTACAAAGAATTGGTCCGAGGAATCCACGATAGAGGTAGGAACACAGTTTTTCCGAGCCCTTAGCTTTACATTAGCATTCCGTTCATTGCATTTTCATAAAAAAGGCATTTTTTCTTCAGAAAAGAGGGGTTCATTGTAGGAGATTTGCATACACAAATTTCAAAAGATGTCGACTAACACAAGCAGTAGAAGCTGCTGGAGTTCCTACGAATCATAAAGAAGGAAGCACAGGATCGCTGAAATATTTTTGCTACGTGTGAATTAAAGTTTCCAGTTCTATCTTATTCTCTAAAAGTTCACCTGTAATCCAAACAACTCGGCTTAGAATGATTTTATCCTTTGATGAAACTCAATAATGTGCACGATGGTGTAAGAACATTAAAGAGTTTTTAACAAAACGAATAAGACAAATTATTTAAAATTGTAAGAATTGATTTACCTTCCTTCATGCCCATTTAACTTGACATCTGGAGTTCAAATACGGTGCTTATTGGGATGTGGAAGTCGCGATTAAAACCTAACTTGAGGTGATTTTCATAAAATGTCTACCATGCCAAAATATTTAGTTTTCATTTACAAGTCTTTTTGATCAATAGTTTTTGATGTGATTTTTGAAACGAAGTATTCTTTGAAAATCGTCGAAGATTTCCAACAGGCACTTGCTCAGCTGGACATTTTAAGAATTTTTCCGATTGACTGGGGCTAATACTAACCATCAAAATTCCTCTGGTGGGCAAAGAGAAAAAAATACGGGAAAAATTGTCCATATTTCGACGTGTGACCCCATTTCTAAGATATCATGCTAATTTTTTCCTTTCTGCTGTTATATAATAACTTCTGTTCTTTTGAGCAACCAATTCTTTAATTTTTCAGAAAAAACCGCGTTTTTTCCTTTAGGTGAGGTTTTTGAAAGGGGGAACAGTCGAAGCATGTACACCCCATACACATTTTTACAGCTAAAAATATCGTAACTCCAGTTCCGACGCGACGTTACAAATCTCTGCTCGTGTATACTCGCGTAAAAAACGAACCGACAATTTTTCTTGAAATTTTCTGTGACATTTTTCTTTATTTAAAAAAAGTGTAAAGAAAATCACAATGAGATATCTATGTTGAGTTTTTTTTTCAGAAAAACAAACGAAAAGAAAAAAATGATAATAACAGTGCTTCGATATTTGTAAATAATAGCATGCTATAGCACGAATTTTCGACTTGAGCCATTAATCAATGAAGTTCGCTTCAGGTATAAAAGGGCTACGATACAAAGTAATTAATTTTGTGCATTACAGGAATGAAATTGGTAGTGGACTTCGTTCCGAATCACATGAGTGTTAAAAGTGACTGGTTCAGGTTGTCAGAAGATGGCGTTGAACCCTACAAGGATTTCTTCATTTGGAACAGTGGGAAAACGTTAAATGACACGCACACTACTTATCCGAACAATTGGGTAAGAACGCATGCATTTTTCTACAAAATAACTACGTGAAAGAGTTAATAGAGACCGAAATAGCTTTTTTCACCCGTTTTTAGATAGACAGTTTCATCGACTTATTTACAAAATGTTGACAGAAACATTCAAGCTAGTTATGTATTGCCAAAAGTATTGGCTAAGAAAAAATAATTCGGCAATGTTGCATTTAATTTGTATTGTAACATCTCTGGCTCACGGGAGGTGAAGTATCTCAAACTTTCATCGTGAGTTTGATTTTCTTTGCTCCTACATGGATGAGAAATTAAATTAATCAGTGACAAATGGATGAATTTCATGAATGTCATTACTTTTGTAGCTCAGCGTTTTTGGGGGCAGTGCTTGGACGTGGAGTGAGAAAAGGAAACAATATTACTACAAACAGTTTGCACCACTGCAACCTGATTTAAACTACCGCAGTCCCGTGGTCTACCAAAAAATGATGGTAAGCATGATATGATTTATATTATCAACAATGTTGCCCGAGCATTACGAAGGAATATTTTTGGAATTTTTTTAGGACTTGATTGTGAACTTCAAGTTTCATCACGAAAAACAAGTCAAAGTGACGCCACAATTCCTTTAGAGCAATGTGAGAGTATGAGACCTTCAGAAGGTACTTTTCTTTAGTTACCTTGGTAAGATTGCTAAAGCATTTGATTGCATTGTGGAAATGCGTTGCAAAGTTACGTTATTATCGCGACATTCGTCATCGACGCGGGACTTGTTCGTCGCACGTCACGGTTACTCCCAACAATACATTGCAATCCGGAACTTCCCGGGGGTTTCACGATATTATAAAATAAAGAAATCACGCGAAACTCGTGTATTTCAAATAGTTTCATACAAATGAGTTTCACGTCATTTCTTTTTTGTTTTAATATGCTGCAACATTAGTTNGGGGGGGGGGGGGGGGGTATACACGTTTAGTTGACTCAGATAAAATTATTACATTAAAAAAAAGACAAACACTAGGAACAGGGAAGAAAAACTAAAGGAGTCTGACGGTGGTTTTGCAGGATGTTATGAAGTTCTGGCTGGACACAGGGGTGGATGGTTTCCGTATCGACGCGATTAAGCACGTGTATGAGGCCTCTCATTTGAAGGACGAGCCGGTGGTGGGTACGCCCTCAGGAACCGGAAATGATTTCGAAATGCTCGACCACATTTACACGATGGAACAACCCGAAAACTATGTATTAACGCACGACTGGCGACTCATGTTGGACGAGTACTCAAAGAAAGATGGCAAAACTAGGTAGGACGCAAATCCGTGACACAGACAAAAAACCTCGAAATTTATGGTATCCCACTAAAACTTCAGAATTACATTTTGTGACAGAGATAACATTTTAGGTGCATTATATTCATACACTAGGTATGAAAATGTCGAAAGAATATGTGAAGGGGCGTGCGCGACTCTGCTCATACGGTCGGCAATTTTCTTCCGGTGATTGACAATATTAAATTTGTAGGTATTTCACAGGCTGCATCGCATAATAGTCAAATTAGTTTAAGATTACATTTTGACCCGGGTGAATTTCAGCTCTTATTTGGAGGTAATTCTATCAAACGGAACTATGTGCATTAAAACATGAGCCCTGAGACCCTTAAGAATACATGCATAACAGAGTTCACGTCATAATGCACACAGTTTCGTTTGACAGAAATACGTCCATTTGGAATACTTTATTTTGCAATTTAGAACTACAATTTCTGCCTCATTTGAGGAACAACATAATGTGCCTTCAGTTTCCGTACGCAGATAGGTGGTTCTATGTATGAGCAAGAATTAACTGGACTGCATTTTGAAATTTGGACCTATAAATTCCGGCCCGGTTTAAAAACAACGTATGTGCCATTAGTTTCCCTATGCAAATAAGTGTTTTTTCAAATGAGCCAGAATTTATAGGTCCAAATTGCAAAATGCAGTCCAACCATTGTAGTTGATATTGTACTCCGTACTTTAAAGCGACAGCTTACATTAACAACTCAAAACGTCGGCAGTTCCCCGGCTGGAAATTATTTTGGAAACTATGGTTTGTTTTTGGCAGTTATTGTCACATTGAACAGACTATGCATTAGGTGATCATTTGCTTAAAAATGTGATCCATTATCTTTTTCGCAGACTTTTAGCTACAGAGGATTATGACACTCCACAAAAACTGGTGAAATACATGGGAAATTCTTCATATCCGAATGTGCACCTTCCGTTTTTCTTTGGATTCGTTCGATGGGATATAAATAAAAATGCGAAGCAGCTGAATAAGATGATTCAAGAATGGACCCACACACTGCCAAAGGGAGCTCTACCTAACTGGGTGGTGCGTACATCAACAGAATGACAATAAGTTGAATTGATTCAATCCAATTGATGGAATGCTTTTCTTCAGCTACATATAACAGAAACAGCCACTGACAAATTCATTGTTACCATTACAAAGTTTTTTTCAAACCCGATAATTCCCTCATGAGCATGCCGAAAATGTGTCTCTTTCAAGTACCCTCGTTCGCTTGCAACTCATTTTAGACTTTAAAAAAATCGCTGATGCACTTCAGGGGTGCAGCAACTTCTTAGCTTTCTCCAATTTATAATTGGCCTTCCCCAGAATGTCATGTTTTGCTATAATTGCACCTCTATATTAAAAAAACCCGCTTAACGGTTTCCCACTCCAAACGCAGCGCGCTTAAAAGTTTCCTTCCCTCCCCTCTCAAAAAAAAATGTATATTTATAAAAAAATTTAAAAAGTTAAAATTCCCCAATTCTTATGCGAGCGGCCACGCGATCATATGGCGTGATGGAGAACATTCTCCAGGAGTGCAGAAAGTTCAACAGTCTTTCACCAGCAAAACGCAAATTTTCCCTGCGCATTGTTACACAGCGCCGGTAATCCAGAATTGCGCGAAAGGTCTTGGAAAATATTTAAGGATTGTGCGAAAAATGATCAAGGATTGCGCGAATAGAAACCTTAAAATCCGCTACTGGAATGCGCGAATTTTAAAATTAAGTTAATTAAGGTAAAAGTTTGGGAAAGCAGGAAACAATTGGAAAATAAACGCATTATTATGTTACGCTAGCATAGGTCAGTTTGTTGACAAATTATCGATGTCTTACCCTGTAATGATAAATGAATTGATATGATTGAATATTGGTCGAGGGTATAAAGAACTTACCTAACTTTTCTCGGAAAAAAATATTTACTCGGGAGAGACGAAGCCATGTTGAAATGCTTATGCGGCGTAAAAATACAACATGGGCTTTTTAAGTTATATTATTCGATGCCGCGTTTATTGCAACGAGAGTTCGGATGATCGCGCCAAACAGTGCAGCCGGCGTTAAACGTACAGTAGCGCCTGCAAGACTGTAGGAATACTTCTCGCATTGCGCCAAATAACGCGGTCGGCGCACAGCCTATATCAGCGCCTACAAGACTGCATGAATACTTCTCGCATTGCGCCAAACGCAGTACAGTCGGTCAGTTGGCCTGAAACGCATATCAGCGCCTACAAGAATGTATCGGAATGCTGTTGGACTGTGAGACTTCCTGCTCAAGTTTTTACCATAATTAAAGGGGAAATATGTATCCTCATTGTAACGATTCATAAATTTAGATGAGATTTAATGTTGTTTTGGGCACATAGAAAGAAAATAGAACGAACGGAAACATCGCGTCGAAATTTTTGATACTTTTATTTGAGATCATTTAGGTGAATTCGCGGAAACTTTTCAGAAAAACTGTGTGTAGCTTTTTAAAAACATACATTAAAAATAAAACCTGAAAGTGGTGCATAACGTTGCAATCAGAGATAAATATAGGCTTCCTTTCGGGTGTACCCGTCGCGTTTTGAATACACCCATCTCTTAAGAAACTTGAATATGGTTGTTCTAAGATTTTAACGTGTAGTTTTTTTCAGTGGTTGGTGCCCAGAGGCCCCTAGTTCACTTTTTGAATATCTACGAAAGCTCTCTGGGTCATTCGTGCTGCGAGGGCTATCTATCGAAGAGAGACATGCCCGTAAATGAATAGGGAATGAACAGTCTTGCGCGATGTAGCTATCTACCACAAACTACCAAGGTTGCCAGATTAACGCTTCCTCTTTAAATATTGAATATTAGCGCAGATATGTGGGTTTTCAGTATCACAAAAATTCGCGCAATCCTATGCATATCCAAAAAGGTAAAAGAGGGGGCATTCGCGCAATTCTATCGCAGCCCACAGCGCGGTCGAAGTAATTTTGACAAATAATCAGCGTGGTCGACGATAAATTTGACAAAAAATCAGCGCGGTCGAAGTTATGACGAAATTGAAGCGCGATTGGAGTGCTTTCAACAAAAATCAGCGCGATTAAAGCAAATCTGACTAAAAAACATCGCTGTCGAAGTAATTTTAACAAAAAATCAGCGCGGCTACTGTCGGAGTGTACACTGTTCACCCACGAAATACAGATCGCCAGTTGGTGAACATTCTGCAAGCCCGTCATTCTACACCCCTGATGCATTTCCGACGAAGGAAGAAGAAATCTGAAGAAAACGGGAGCGGGACTTTTTCACATTTTCTCTTAGATTTGTCAAAGCACCTATGAATAAATGTATAAAACAAACAACGCATTTAGCTATTCCTTTGTGATTCTGGATATAGATGCATCCGTAGATTAGCGAGATGACAGGAGAGGGCTATTTGAAGTCACATGGCAATATTATTGTGTTTTATAATTTTGGTGCAATGTTTTGTTTGAATAGTTGGACAATCATGACAACCCACGAGTGAGTTCCCGATTCACTCCGGAGAGTGTTGACGCGTGGAATATGATGGCACTTTTACTGCCGGGCACGGCGTGCGTCTATTACGGATCTGAAATCGGAATGGAGGACAGTCCGGTTCGGGATGACCAGAGGAAAGATCCTAACAACGGGGGAATGGGCAGGAGCGACTCCCGGGATCCTGAAAGAGCCCCCATGCTCTGGGATGACACCAAAAATGCTGGTAAACTATTTTTATCCCGTTGATAATTTATCAGAAACCTCCATCTCTCCAGATTTCATTTGTACACTGGTAAAAAAAACCGCTTGGTTCATGAGTGCAGTTTCTTGTCGCCGGATTTAAGAGTCTGGACTCTTGTGTCAATGCAAAATCCGCTTGAAACAAGAAATCAAGACTCATAAATCCGGCGACAAGAAACTGCACTCTTAAGTCAATGCACCGTGGCATTGGTCCGAGAGGTTTTTTTTTATTACCAGTGCAGAGCTCCCTTATCGTCTGTTCAGACAAAAGTCAAGAATAGCTTGCTCAACCAACAATTGTGTTTTTTATTTCAAATTCTGAGTGTACCAAGTGCGTAGATTACAGGGTGATTAATTGCGTATTTTTGGAGCCAAAATCCCGAACAAGCCCGCTTTTACAAAGTGCAAAAACTCAAAGGAATTTCAAACGCGCCGCAGTGGCGGGAAAATGATGGACGTTATGTGTGGCTGAAGCAGTCAAATCGATACCTCCTCTCATGCTCTACGCATGTTTGTTAAAATAAAGCTCATTTCAATCTGGAATTGTTGCTTGTTCACTACAGATAACATGAATGAGATTCAATTCTTTGATTCTAAAGATATAGCTCTAATTTTTCTTTGGTTTTCATATACGAGAAGTAGAAAGACATTTTGACGGAAGTCGTGCGTACAAACTCGAGCTCGCTTCAAATCAAAGCTAAAGGATGCTAAATCAAAGTCACGTTATTAAAGATCAGTTTTATAGTACCTATTAAATGAAAAAATTTTCTCATTATCGGGAAATTTTTATGCGCACGGTAGGGGCAGTGAGGCAGAGGCAACCATATATACTTACCTCTTAATTCCCTGGAACCAAACCGAAGAGGTAGGACTGACTATGTTTTCACCAACTGTTTGAAGACACATTAGAGAGTGTGAACATGGAAAAGTTGAACCTGAAAAAATTAGCCGACTAATTATTCACATTTTTAAGGTTTCACGACAAACGACAAACCATGGTTACCGGTGAATCCCGGATACTGGCGGAAAAACGTAAAAGTCCAGCAGCAAGATCCCAACAGTCATTTGAACATTTTCAAGCGACTTTCAGCTTTGAGAAAGACTCCCATAATTAAAGAGGGCACTCTCAACTCTTATGCACTCAGCGAATGGACCTACATGTTCACAAGGTAATTATTTCCTCGCTTGAAAAAGGAATGTTTTGAGCCTTACAATAATCAAAACTAAGTTTTTTTTTTTTTTTTTTTTTTTTTTTTTTTTTTTTTTAGAGTATTGTTTGAAACTAATATTACAGTCTATGGATAAAAAATCGGAAATGGAAATGTAAATTTAAAAAATTTACAGATTGAGTCCACATCGGGCCGTTAATCATGATATTAAATAGAAGACTTATTTCGAAGGAGGAAAAGGGCATTAATAATACTTCATTATTTGCCTCAGTTGGGAGCTCAAGTGCAAATAATCCACTCCAAATGTTTAGTTTTAATTTTTACGGATACTATAACCAACTTTATCAGGAGTCAATTTTTTTAAAACTTTTATATAGCGAGATAAATGAGTATTTTTTTTAGATCGATAACTAACAGAGCTCTCAATTATTAGGACCTGTGAGGCGAAATTGAAGGCGCGATTCAAATAGGCGACCTTCCAAATGAGTCCGCAACATCCATTTATCGTTTCAGTCAAAGCCTTTTTTCCTCACCTGAGTGCGAATAGTTATGTCAGATGTTCTTGTACTATTTAAAGCTAAAAACACATAATTTTAATAAGCAATTTGCCTTTTACGTCTCGGAGCAATTACGGAGTTTAATCTAACGTTTTGGAGTGAAAATTCGGTTGCTCATTTATATTACATGACGTTTCGAAATTTCAGATCACACGAGAAAGAAACCATTGCAGTATTAGTGAACCTTGGAACAGAACCAGACCCAATATGTGCAAAACGACTGGAATCATCACTCCCTGATACAATGTTCGTCCACACGAGCAGTATAAATTCCGGCTTGAAAATAGGGTAAGCTGCTAATTAAATTAATCACAGGTGTGGTAAAACTGAACGAGAGGGTATTATAATTGCTGGAATCTGAGAGTTTGATACTGATAAAGAGGACATAAAAAAATTTTAGAAAAGGGAAATTACCAAAGAACTAAACATTGCAGTAAAAATGAAGAGATATGCTAACGATAAAACGGAAAAACTTTTCCAATGCAAAAACTAGAAATTATTAAAATTAAAATATAAAATTAAACTAATTGAGCTTCTTAGAGTTATTATACACTCTCATGATGGAAGAAGGTTATTATACACTGAGAGAGAACCACGGCTAAAATTACCATAAAAGAACGGTGTTCTATGAAAGCTCATAATTCATAGTAGCCATTGCCAATGAGAAGTGATGCTTTAACCATTCAATGATAATATCACTGGGGTAGCGGTAAAATTACTAACGTTTAGGATACAATTTTCACCTAATGGTGAAAATGCCTCTATTATTGATTATGATTACTATGAATAGGAAAGACGAGAAATCGTGGCTCCTACTGTGACCTATGGGTTTGTCTCAATTTCCACGCGCATATAACTCTGGACTTTCCAGGGCTCACTCTGAAATAAAGATGCGCTCTGGCGCCGACAGCCGACATGCTGGCTTCAAACTTCCAATGACTTCTCCTCCGAAACACCTTATTTGAAATACCAAGTTCAAAACCTCTGTTTTGCTTTCTTCGGAAATTTACACGTTTTTTTTGTTCAAAATTTTCATAAAACAATCCTCATGGTAGTTAGCAGCGAAGCCAGTCCTCATGCTCTCATCTCAATCAGGATATTTATGCTTTTAAGGCTTTCTCCTTGTAAGTATTTGACTCAGGTAACAAACATTACAAAATGGACCGCATTTTGCGCTCGAGAGTTATATCTGACTCATTTAGGAAATAACGTATGTCCCAGCTGTTTCTCTCTGCAGGTTGGAGCTTATACAGGGAGGTCCGTAAGTCCTGCACCACCAATACCAGACATAATCGAGGCGTTGGGTGCGGAAAGGGCATTCCTTGATTGCAGTGTGTCAGAATCTCCACTGTTAATTTATAATTTAGAGCAGAAATTATAAGTTGAATTTTTTTTAAGTTTTCCGTTTTCAAAATTGTAAAATCATGAAGAAAATTTAATAAAAGTTTCGACAAAGTCCAAACATTTATGATTTAATAATACTGGATGAAACGTTAGCGGTGATTCTGAGACACCACTATCAAGAAATGCCCCTTCTACACCCAGCGCTTCAATCTTAGTAACTTTTGGACACATCGAGATTGAGAGTTGAACTTTTGCGTGCCCCCGTAGGTTAAAGAACAAAGACTTTCCGGATCCCCAAAACTTTTCTGGCACCACCCTAAAAAAGAGCAAGAACCCCTAGGGATTACAGGGGTGGAGCAGGACTTTCGTATGAACCTGTGCACGGATGAGCCAAATAGAGTAGCTGAGAAGTCGGACAAAATCTGGAAACTTTGAGAGCTTATATTTTTGAAAACATGGAAACAGAAGTTTAATTGCAAAATCAAGTCCGAATGTTAAGTCTGATTCTAAATCGGACAAAATAATAGGAGAATTGGAGTGATTGGATTCTCATTGCTAAATAGAGCCCAATCGTTGACGGTCTGAGCAGTGAGCACCCGAGTGATTAAAAATGAATCCGATTTTACAGGGACAAAGTGAGAATTTCTGAGGCTGACCGACCGGGACAAGTCTGCACTGAGCTACGGCCGAGAGCAGGAGTGGTTTTGAGTACGAGTCACGGTGCTCTCCTGTCCTATTCTCTATACCTCATTTTCCTGACGACAGCCTCAACTCTATTAAGGTGGAATTGCTATTAGAGGGCTGACGGACAAGTCTGCACTGAGCTACGGCCGAGAGCAGGAGTGGTTTTGAGTACGAGTCACGGTGCTCTCCTGTCCTATTCTCTATACCTCATTTTCCTGACGACAGCCTCGACTCTATTAAGGTGGAATTGCTATTAGAGGTACCATGTATGTCTTCATCAACTGAATCTCGACTATTCCAAGGAATACAAGGCAATGGACCACTGCACGAGGTAAACGAACTTAAGCATTCTCATACGTGTTCCTTGACCAGAATTTAACGTAAAACACGATTCTTGCATAGAAAATTACTGAAATCAACTCCTAACTAAGATAATAACGGTTTGATTTTACATTGGTTACGGAAAATTTGAATTACCCGCGCGGTCACAAGAAACATAATACGTTACGCGTGAGTCTAATAGCGCACTACAGCGGTTTCAGCAGGCTTCACAGTCTAACATTGTTCATTTCCCACCCTTTATTGTTGAAAGTGTAAACTATTTACTATATATATAGCTGAGCCAAAAGCGTCAAGATTGAGATTGCCATATTTTTGTAGACTGCCACGGTAACGTTTTGTTTGTGATATCACGTACGTAGACCATTGTTTTCTTGAGCGAGAGGTTTAAATTCACTCGTCAAAAAACATTAAATTCCTTGGCTAGAAGTCAATTTCAGTAATTTTCGTTGCACGAATCGTGTTTCACGTTAAATTTTGGTTAAGAGACATGTATCAGAATGCTTAACTTCGCACCTTGTCTAATGGTCCATTCTTAGGAATAATATGTATCTGAGAAGTGCGTAAGATAGTACTCGGTAAGCTGTTTTATAGAGAAGTTTCAGTTTTGTTTTTCTTCCTCGTTGGCCCGATATTGAAAAGAAAAACAAATAAAAAGAGAAAGATGGAACAAGGCAGGGAAAATCAATTCATGGCACCTGGTGTAAAATTCTTAGCATTTATGAGTGCCAGCTTTGAATGTCCAAGTTAAAGCACTCGAATCCTCTGTTTTTAATGATCACCAGTTTTCAATAAGATTTTGTATGGATTCATAATTTGACGCACATGATGTTTTATTAATTGTTTTCCTTTCTTTTGAAAGAAGATTTTTGAGAGCGTGCGCAACACAGGATTTTAAGCGTTAGCTCGCTAAATGTATACAAGATTAACAGATAAGTGAACGAATTCTTTTCGGCAGGAACTAAGATTCTTTCTAGCACAGTTGAGAGGGTTGAGTCTGTGTGCTTTTAAATGAAAGCAAAAATAAGAACGGATAAGTAAGGGAGCTAATTATACATAAACAATGAGCAGAAAAAACAAGGGAAAAATAATGAGATTCTTTCCTTAGAAAATGATAGACTGAAGTGAGTTTACTTCTGAATTCGGACAAAAGATCCGCACGAGACAATATAAAAGAGGAAAATATAACCGGTTGTTCCTTATAGTTAGTGGAAAAAGCATTGAGAGCCATATCTGAATTTTTGACTCCTGATTTTGTAAATACTGTTTTAGCAATTAAGTTTTGCAAGGATAATTTATTTTTGAATGCATATGTGATAGATTCAAGATGATTTTAACCTCGCTGCTAGCGATGAAAGTTGCCAAAAATTATTTTGAAATATGTAGCAAGATTGTAAACTGTCATGAAAATGAAAAATAAACATCTCATAACTTGAAATTGTTGTTAAATTGTTGATGTTTTTACCCTCGGCAGATCGGGGGCGTACTAAAAAATGGAAGGAGAATTAATGCAATGCTGGTGTAGCTAGGTATTGATATTTGAGGGGTACGGAAATTTGACGACCCTGCCCGAAATACTTGAGACTCGCGGCTCAACGCTGACTTCATTTGATGACTATCACAATTCTGGTCCGGCACAACGTTGCCATAGTTAATGAAAGGTTTCAATAATTCAGAATAAAAGTACTTGAAACATACAGTTCTCACCTTGAAGTCGATTTCAGTCTTATTAAAGCTGCAATCAATGAATGAAACAGTCGTTCGACAGAAGCTCTACAATTCTACATTGGCAACGTGGGTGAATTTTGCATTTTGCATTTCATTTTATTTTGTCATGGGAACGGAGTTCCCCATGATATTACAATCGTTCCGTTGCTTTCGCTATGGGATTCCCTATACCTCTGCGACCTTGAGCGTTTCGCCCAGTCTCCGATTTTTGGTTGATTTTCCGATGTATCAAAAACCGTTGTATTTTTTAGCCAATCATGTCTCTACGTCAAGTTGTGTTGATTTCTAAAATTCGCTTTCAGCGAGTTTTTTTCCACCTTGAGATGTCGTGTCTGACTGGTAAATCTGCGCAGAACCACGAAGTTCCGTTTTTAGGCAAATTCTTTTTTTTGGGAGGTTTTCATTGGCTATTTTTCGCCATCAGTTTTCTGTTCGTTGGTGCAAAAGATCGCCTACCTCGTTGCTCTTGAGAAGCCGCCATTATCCCACCTCAAATTTTAAACATAGATGTAAAGAAATAATAACCATCGTACAAGGTGGAAAATTGCTCTGGAGGACCCGTTACGGATATATGAGCCAAAATCAGAACTCGATTGATGGATTTAATCCATGAATACAGAAATATTGCCTCAGCTTACTGCCGCGATCGCAAATGCATACTGAGATGAACCTTGTGACACATGACAGCATAGGTAAACAATGTCTCACAGAGTAATTCGCTTGATCCGTTGTCTGTTAACACGCCAGTGGCCGAACCGTTGAAATCTCAAGGACGTCTTTTGTGAAGCCCCGCTCAGCGTCCGAGATCACTTAACTGTTCTCTTTTTCTCCTCCCATACCCGTGCGGCGAGATAGCTCAGTTAGTTACAACACCGTTCTGACTCTGGGGGAGTGTCACTTTTTGTGGGAGCGGGGGTTCGAATCTCGTAGGGGACAGCTAATTTTTACTGGTTGTATTGAATGTTTTAGACCAATAATCTAACAATAATTAATACTTGGCAACTTAGGAAGCACATAGGTCCCTTATGATGCGTATTCGGGCATATGTGTAGAGTAAAAATATCATACGTAGGGTGTCCCAAAAGTACCGGGACTGGTTCTGTAACTTCAAAAGTAAGATAGATGCAGACATGATTTTGGTTTCATCTTAAAGATCAACTCAATACCTATCGATTAAAACCAAGATCAGCTCAATCGAATAAAAATTGACCGAGTTTTGGCAATTTGAAATTAGTGAGGAAAGTTTACCCCTACGGTTTTTAGGAAGATTTTTCGCTTACCAGGATTCAAAAAGTTAATATTCGTATCCACTTTCCTCCGAATCTTCCATAACTTCCTTTTGCTTTTCAAAGTACCGTCCATCAAACCGGATGCACTTTTTCATGCGCTCTTGCCACTTATCCAACATTGTTTTCCTGAATTCTTCCTCTGGGATGGAGTTGAAGAAGTTTTGAATTGCATTCTGGATTTCGGTCTTCGATACGAATCCTCGTCCGCGAAGCTCCTTTTTAAGCGTAGGAAACATCCAAAAATCACATGGAGCCAAGTCAGGGCTATAAGGGGGATGAGGGATTGTTTCAACTCCATTTTTACTCATAAATTCACGTGTTAAGCTCGATGTGTGAGGCCGCGCATTGTCTTGATGGAGTATCCACGAAGCTTTCAAGTCCGACCGTTTCCGGGAAATGTGCATTCTCAACTCCTTTAGTGCTTTGCAATAATACGCACTGTCAACTGTTGTGTTTGATGGTACAAAATGTTGATAAATGACACCTCGAAAATAAAAAAACACAATAAGCATCACTTTATCGGCCGACTTTTCGATTTATGGCGATGAAGAATCTTCCTTAAAAACCGTAGGCGTAAACTTTCCTCGCTGATTTCAAATTGCCGTAACTCGGTCAATTTTTATCCGATTGAGCTGATCTTGGTTTTAATCGATGGGTATTGAGTTGATCTTTAAAATGAGATCAAGATCATGTCTGTATCTATCTTACTTTCGAAGTTACAGAACAAGTCCCGGTGCTTTTGGGACACCTTATGTATACTTTACGCCGAAAAAGCGAACCTGAAACTTAAATGCGTTAACTTCCGAAAACCATATATAATCCAACGAAAATAAATAATTGGTACATAACAGCTTTCTTGTATGCAAAGAAAATAATTAAAAATGTTAAAAAAGAGATGTCAACACAAAATTACATAGCCCCTTCAATTCAGAAGATACTACACACGAACTGTACCTTAACATTTTCATATCCCAGAAGCTAACGTTCCCATGACGAATATTGCTATCGCTAGCGATTGCAAAATCCAACTTGTTACTTTTTAGGATATGATCAAAAGCGGATCATCTTATAATTTCTGGTTTCATTTTCAATTGAAAAGCTCCCCACGGTGCACAGAGCAAACACCATTTAAATTTTAAAAATGTCTTGTTACAAATAAGGAAGTTGTTCAAAACATTAGCATTGCAGTGCTCTTGGTTTCCTTAGTTCCCTTGGATCTTCACGAATGTTTCCCCCATGGTTGTCCCCAAGTCCCAAAACCGAAGGAATGGACGAGGAAGGGGGCATAAAGACCCCTCAGCTACGGTGATACGCGTGAAAATTTGAAGCTCCAGAGAAAAAGGGGATAAAAGAAAAAGCTTTGAAATTTTTGCAACTCGATGATTCACGAATGCGGAGTTACGATGTTACAAACGCGGGAAATATTTTAATGAAAAAAAGTGTGCAAAATATCATTGGATTTTTTGGGATTTTTCCCGAGCAGCTAGGCAATGTTGGTGCCCAATTATTTTCAAGGACGAAGAAGCGCGTGCGCCGACGACGACGACGACGACGCGACGTGCTGACGAACCGCGTTCATTCAGGAGATTCACGTCGCGTCGCGTCGCACAATGGAGCGAGCCGAAGGGAGAATGTTGGACATGGTGCGGAAACTTTAAGATCTTATATCTTCATTCATACAAAAGGCACACGCTCGGAAATGGTTCTCTGTGTTTTCTCGCAGAATTTCCTTCATGAAACACCCCTTAAAGGTTATATTGAAACGGAATAAATACCAACATTTTCGGTTCAAGTCCAAAATGTCATGTCCGACCGGTTCCCATGGCTCATTCCACTGTGCGCAGGGTCGAATGCCCTGAAAAAGTTGACGGCCGAAAAATGTGAGTGCGAGACCCATCACGGCGAGTGTCATATCACCTCCTGACGAAATTCACCGTAGAGTCCATCCAAGCTTGGGAATCGAGTTGGGAATCTCTGACTGTGAGATTCAACATGAATATGTGAGTGTTTCGGTCCTCCTCCCCGCGAAAAGTAAAATTATTGTCAGAAAGCGATAAGTATTAAAAATAAGGAAAATTTGAATATCGGGTAGTGGCAGAAAATCTATGGTTTCTTGACTGCCTGGAAAACTAAATTCCATGCTTCACATGGGGTGTCCCAAATATCTGGTCATCAACTTTTATGTAAGCGATACAATAAAGCCAGTAAATTGTGGGCTGTACGAGCTGAAGGATCATTTCGAAACTTCGTAACCTCTTCGAGGTCATTGGGTCAACAACTTACCGAGTTAAAGAGAATTTTAGGTGACGTGTTTGCGTGACCCCAGAGAAAATGCAACACCCTTAAAATAAAAATAAGGCTATGACTGGCATTAAGTTCCAACGAGAAAAAAATATTCTGCCGAACGAGAGGAGACCTAAAACATCCGCGCTTCAGTAGAATCAGTAAACGGCGGCTAAAATCCGCCTTTCAATCAGACTGCAGTTATCGTGAGATTCAGCACGAGATTGAAGAGAGATACACGTTATCGTAAAACTAGGAAGTAAAGTAGCTTTAAGTGATAAGGGGAACTTTTATAGCTTATTAACATAAAACAGCGATTGAATTATACACTAATTACACAGGGTTAAACGCTCTACGCTCTTACGAGAAAAAAATCCATGCTTGACCGAAAGTTTCCTTTTTTTTTTCCTTACGGTGCAACAAACGATTCTGATCAAGATTCGCCCGGCCATGTTTTATGAGACCCGAGTTAATTTTATGAATAGTTCGGTAAACTCATAAAATTAAAAAGAAAATATAATGAAATTGCGACCTTTCTTCTATTCCAATCGACGGAATAACCGCTGGAGGATTTACGGGCGCATTTTTACTACCTGTCTCCCCAAAGTCCTGTTTCCAATTAATTAATATTTTCATCCTCCGCGACTTTTTCACGTTGTTTCCCAGTTCAGAGCTGGATTTACCGTCGAATCCGACACTTTCTTGGCACCTACCACGATCACGTCATTATTTGAATTAATTCATCGCCCTTCCCTTTCATTCATCATTCCGCGAGTATTCCTTAGTTTGTTTTATGGGCGGCCAAAACAGTAGGGGGGGGGGGGGGGGTGTTTACAAACTTGTCTCACCTACATCGGTAACGCCATGTTCACTGTTTAAGGAGAAGGGGAGAGCATGGAAGTTGCATGAAATAAAACTGGTAGCTTATGTCCAAGAATGCGTATCTGTGTCGCAGGCAAGTAGTCAACTTAGGCATCATTCGAAATGCCTGAGCGGAGAGTCAAATATGAGAAATGTTGGATGCTCCAGACATACATTTAAAACTATTGAAACATTGGGTAACAATGGTTTTTAAACACAGAAGACGTCTCGGCCGGAAATATCACGGCCTTTTTCAGTAGGATAAAAAAAAAAAAAA